GCCTTATTCCGGCACCGAGGTACACTTTCAGCTATGCTTTTGTGGCGTAAGAACTCAGTGGTATAGTTTTCTGAGCTTGACATTTTCTCGAAGTGTTCGCCAAGAGCGTTTGCCTGTTCTTCTATTGTATCACAGCAGTCATTCACCAAAGGGAAGGGATTAGTTTGCCTGTTCTTCTATTGTATCACCGCAGTCATTCACCAAAGGGAAGGGATTAGGGCCTTGTCCTTTAAGTTTATGCACCCTATTATAAACCTTGCTGACGTCTGTGTAGGAGTTTATTGAGGATATATAGCGTGTCCAGCTTTCCCATTTGGCTATACGGCGAACATGCCTGCCATTCGCTTTGCAACTTTTAAAGGTTATCAAGTTTTCTGCTGTTGGGTAGCGAGAAAAAACCCTCCATGCTTTGTTTTGCCGTTTTTTAGCAATTTCGCACTCCCGATTCCACCATGGCTTTGTGTTAACCTTATCATTCCTGGACTGCGGTATGCACTTTTTTGCACAAGTAAGAACATATTCAGAAATATAGTTGGCCATCTCTTCTACTTCCAAATTGTCTACCTCTTCGAGGTGTAGTGTACATAGCTCTCTGAATTTCACCCAGTTCGCAACATGAAAGTTCCACTTTTTGGGATAAGACGGCCGGTCATCCCGTTGTTTCGTTACTAAAAGAGTTGGAAAATGGTCACTTCCATATGGATTATTAATAACTTTCCAATCTGAGTAAGGTAGGAGTGACGGTGACCCAATGGCTAAATCTATGCATGAATATGTATTGTGTGTGGTACTGAAGTATGTTGGCTCTGCCTTATTGAGCAGACAGGCTCCAGATGCGACAAGAAAGTTTTCTATTGCACGACCTCTCGCATCACATTTGGTATCACCCCATAGCAAACTGTGAGCATTAAAATCTCCAATTAACACATATGGTTCTGGAAGCGGATCAATAAGCTTTTCGAACTCTGTTTTATTGAATGGTTCGTCAGGGGCTATGTAGATCGAGCAGATAGATATAAGACGGTTGAATAGAATAGCGCGAACAGCCACAACCTCAAGAGAGCTTTGTAGCACAATGTGCTGGCATGCTACGCTTCTTTGTGCAATGATGGCCACACCTCCAGAAGAGAAATTGCCACCATTTCGATCTTCACGAAAAACCACATATTGATTTAAGAAATTCACATGAGTCGACTTTAAATGAGTTTCTTGAACACAGAACACTTTTGGCTGATAGTCATTAAGCAAGTCTTTGATATCATCTAGGTTATTAAATAGGCCTCTGGCGTTCCACTGTAGTATTTGCGTGTTCATTTTTTATGTGTTTTGTGTTGTTTGCTCAAGGATGGAAAGTAAGCTCAAGGACCCTTTCCAGGGGCCGTGACACGAGATTTTTCTTTTTTGGATCGGTCGACAGAGTCGCGCCGATCCTTAGGCGCTGGCTGCGCCCTCACGCTCTGTGTTGTGTCCATTGCCTCTTGCGAGGCGCTGGACACGCGCTCTTGCGAGCGCTGCATTTGTTCTGAGGGCCTCGCCTCAAAGGACGAGACCTTCGCGGCCCCCAGCCCGGAGGTTGGTGGGTCTTTCTTGGATGGCAGAGCAGCACTTGCTGCAACCCCCGAGGGGGCGGATGGCGTCACCGCTGGCTCACTACGCATGTGCCAGACAGGTGCCGGGGGCCGTCGTGGCGCTGCCCCCTGACGCGCCACTTCGGCAAAGCTGGTTTCTGGTAGGCAGGACACCTGCCTTCGTGCCTCCCTAAATGAAATGTTTTGTTTTACTTCAATTGTGATAATTTCCTTTTCTTTTTTCCAGCATGGGCATGACCGTGAGTATGCGGCATGCTCCTCATTACAGTTCGCACAGTGAGGAGAGTTTTCACAGGCATCAGATGTGTGGTCTTCAGCACTGCATTTTGCGCAAGTTAGGCAGCCTCGGCAGTTCTGCGAACTGTGGCCGAACCGCTGGCATTTGAAACATCCTAGAGGGTTTGGAATATAAGGTCTTACTCGAAGCTTGATGCACCCAGCCTCAACGAAGTCGGGCAGTACACTTGAATTAAACGTAAGTATTAGGTGCTTAGTCTGGACTTCTTTACCATCACGTCTCATCCTAATTCGTTTCACGTTGATGACATTCTGTTCGCTGAAACCCTCCAGGAGTTCAGCCTCAGTCAGTCCTAACAGGTCATCATCTGAAACAACACCACGGGTGGTGTTCATGGTTCGGTGTGGGGTTACTATGATTTTGGTATCTCCAAATTTCACTAGATTAGACAATTTTTCATATTGTTTCTGGTCGCGGAGCTCCAACAGGAGGTCATCACTTGCCATTCTCGATGCTTTATATCCTGGGCCAAAGATTTCTGTCAAAGACTTCGAAACAAGAAAAGGTGAAAGTGTTCGCACTGGTTTGCCGGGTGTGTCAGTGTGGATAACGTGGAATCGGGGGAAGGATACTCTCTGGTGACCAAAGAACTGGAGGACTTCATCGGTGCGCCCTCTTTTATGAGGGAGATCAGGGAGTGGGGGGAAGGAACTAGCCATATGAAAAGGTTTATTTTCGGCAGCGGCGCCAGCCACCCACCATGGAGTCCTACAAGGGGACGCTGCAGGGTCTGTAAGCACAGGTCCTGCAGACGCCAGCTGTACACCACCACTATAACCGAATATGGTGTATCCAAGGTAGGATAGCCACACAGGGTTAACCCTAGCCGCCAGGAAACACGGAAGTCAACGGAAGAGAGTAGAGGACAGGAAAGATTTAAAGTAAGGGAAAAGACGAAGATGTGAGGTGGAGACAGGAAAAGATTTCCCCCGGGCGGGTCAATCCGGGGGTGCCGTCTACGTGAAGCCGGGGCCAAAGGGGTGTGTTGCCTCTGCCGGGGAGCCTTAACGGTCCAATCATCCAGCGTCAGCTCAACCTCCAGGATTTCCTTTTCCCCGGACACGGCAAAGCCACGCACGGCTAGGCGTGGGAGGGAGTCAAAACTCCCCCGTTAGCTCGGGTCCATTGTGTCGCTACACACCAAACGCCTACTTGCGCAGGCGCCCCTGCTCAGGCAAAGCATTCCATATTTAAATAGCATGGACAAAAATAACTATTTGTTCAGTTATTAAAACGAGGCACTTTCAACTCTGATCGGTTTAGCGAGTGTGACGTAGTTGCTGAGTGAAGAAAATCGTGAACACCGAATGAGAGAATGTAAAGAAACTCGACGACGAGATACAGAGAAGCTGCAGGCTATGGAAACTAGATGAAAAATACCAGTTATACCAGCAGCAATAATTTATAAAGCGCACTCCTCTCGTCGCTGAGCGGGACGGAGGGCAGATACCGAAGTCAACTTGCCGTCCATGTGAATAATACTCGTTCCATGCTTTCAAGACTGGTACTGCAGAGCCACGGAATGCACGAGCAGCAAGCAGGGCATTCGAAACGCCGAAAATCAAAAGGCCGAACTATCGGAATGTTGAAACTAAAAACACTAAAAAATAAAAACTCCAAAAATATAAAAAGCTGAAAATTTAAAATGCCGAAAAATCAAAACACCAAGCATCAAAACACGGAACATCAAAATGCCGACATTACCCAGCTATAGTGGAAGAAAATGTATTATAGCAAGATAAAATTTCCGCCGGCTTTGTACGACATGCATGCACTTTCGCCCTCGTTTCCAATAGCCATTTTCCCATCGCATATGGTTCAGCCCCTAGGTCGTCAAGTCATTAGACAGTAAACAAAAGGGAGCACATGGCCATAAAGATAACCATAAATTTTGATTGATATGTGGGATTTATTGTTTCAAAACCACCATACGACTATGAGAGATGTCGTAGTGGAGGGCTCCGGAAATTTTGACCACTTGGGGTTCTTTAATGTGCACCCAAATCTGAGCACACGGGTCTATAATCATAAATTTTGTAAAACTGTTCGAAAAACGGCGACACAGTGCTAAATGTTCCATCCATGAGCCACATTGGTGGGTCGTTCAGTTCTCACATGTTTTCGTCTGAAATAAATGAGGAATTGAGCTTCATCTGTGCTGGCGCACTCCCGTCCCATAAACTCAAGGCCGTGTAAGGTTGTTCGGTACTCGCTCTGGATGACGAGCTCCTGCACGGCAGTCGGCTTATGTGGACAGCCCGTTCCCCTTTTCCTTCTTACAACCTGGCGCAAGGCTTCATCACTCGGAAGGTGTTGCCTATAAAAGACGCTTGTACATCTGCGGTAACTTGCTGCACAAGCTTCACGTGGGCCTTGCCCAAGGCCACTCTTGAATGCTAAGAACTGTCGCTCTATAGGCCTCCAGAGCATGGCTTGTGTGGACCACTCTCTTTTGAGACGACTTTGCAAGTACCTTCTTCAGGATTGTCGAGAATCATTCCAGCATTACGTTCGCCTCACCTCTCGCATCTCCAGTAGTGTCTAGAATGTACTTTTTTTGTCAAGCTCGTACACATAACCGTCTTTGTATCGAAGTTTTCTTGTTTTTTTTTTCCTTCTGGGAACCGCCACAACAGTGTCTTCTTCCATTTCCATGGAAATGACAACTCCCTTACATTGCTGCTGCTTTTGCACTACAAACTCTAGACAGCACTGTTTTTTTTTTTTTTCCTGCTTACCCATAGAAGCCCTGTCCAAATGATATGCCTACAGCTTCACACGAGATAAAGATTTTACATCGCTTTAATATGCTGATATGGCTACATTTGCAGAACAAGTTAAACAGCTAGGTCAGGTGACAGTGACACGGCGGAAAACGAATCGGCGATAGTCACAAAGCGCGTCATTTACTTTCACATGGTTCAATTAATGTTGCTGTAATATGGTTTCAGCGTTTATACTTTTCGGTATTTCAATTTTTGATCGTTCTGGCGTTCGACCTTTTCATAGTTCGGCCTTTTGATTTTCGGCGTTTTCCGCCGCACGAAAATAGGAACCGGCTAAGCGACGATGAAGCTGCACTTTTAGTATGTGTCCGTGGATAGAGTACGCACCGCTTGTTGTACAGCTCTTCGAACTCGGCCCATTGCTGCGACAGCTCAGGTGGCCCCTGCTCTTGCTGCTTCTTTAGGTAAGCACCGACGTCTTTGGCCATCGCGTCACTTGCTGCCCGTCTTCCTAGAGTGCACGTTCTACAAGTCACGGCTAGTCGCGGCGGCCTGTTCGAGGAAACACAATAGAATAAAAATAAGCGATAAAATGCTAATGGCGATGGCGACTGGCAGCCGTGAATCGTCGCTTGCTCATGGAGTACCACGGAGGAAGGAAAGGTTTCGGTTTGAAGAAGTCAATTAAGACACTGAAGTTGCGGCAACGTGTCATAGAAAAATAATCTACACACTTTGAAAACGTGGCGGCGCGTTTCTGCTTCAACCACTTAGAGTGAATTTACTAACCTCTCTCGCCTTTCGCACTATTGCACTTTCTGGTAGGGGCGCCCCACTTCCTCCGTGGGGCGCCCGTGGAGTTTCCCAAAACTAACTAGAGGTTGCCACTTCGTTTATTTCTGTGTTTCGGTTTTGTTTTGAAAAAACAATTTAATCGTTTTGAACTTCGTGACTCAACTTAAAAAGGTAAGCTGAAAAAAATAGGGTGGTGAAGCACAACTATTGAACAGTTGCTGATTTTTGTTTAGTGAAAAAACAGCTTCAAGCCACACAAACACACACAGAGCCAAAAGCAGGCCAGAAGTACGAAGTTTAGACAAATTTGTGTACTACCCTGTCCATGACCTACTACACTCCTGACCTGTTCAGATAGCGGGGTTCCTATGGGAGCGCGTGTCCCCGCTCTCGTTCAATCGCTCGCCGTAGGTGGCGCTACCTATAACCTGTTCGTCTGCTTCTTTACGGTTGTTTTGTAGGCGCTGGTATAAGAATGCCTGCTTTCTGTGGTGAACTGTCGGCATATATGTGACTATTTCTTCCCATACATTGCTGGTCAAGTAAGCTGTTCAGTGCGCTTAAGAATTTATAGCACACTGGTTGACAAACGTGGAAACCCGTGGATTTACATGATTTTGGACAGCCTATGCGTTGTCGCGTGCATTTTATTGCAAAAAAAATTCTGAATGTCTTTTAGTATTATTATTTCTGGATATTTCTAAATTGTGGATCATAAATTCGCACTACGAGTGCTTTGTTGGTTAAAATTTGACTACAAAGAGTGAAGGTGACGTCAGCGAACAGGTGCTGCCTAGCGCCACGCCGCTCGTAGGTGACGGCCCTAGCGGCAGAAGGTATGAACTAGAACGTGGGCGCTGGAAGAGGTGCTCTCTGGGCAGGTCAGGAGTGTAGTAGGTCATGACCCTGTCCATAGAGTTTCCCACAATACTTACTAGAGGGAACTCTGGCGCTAGTGTCTATGGGAGCTGCAATGCACGGCGCTTCAACGAGCATGGGAATGATGGGAGCGTCTTCTGCACCGCGCGTCGCAGCAGCCCCAACCAGTCCCAGTCAGAAATGGCTTCTGCGCCACACGGAAGTAACGTCACTTTAAAAATTATTACCAAAAGCAAATAAATGCGTAAATTATTTGTGTGTATTGCGTTAACCTACAAAAGCTTTACTAATCAAGCGTTGAACGAGTCAATTAACTTAGGTTTGTTATTTATATACATATTACAAGTATTTTAAATCACGGAGGAGGAACTTTTCCTTCCTCCGTGATTTTAAATACAGGGGGCGCCATGGGCGCTGCGGCCACAGAACTGGTACCCCCGCAGAACACCTTGCTAGAGTGTACAGTGTACTAGAAGCTCTGAGTGGGACGAGCAGCCGGCTGTGCGCGTGCATTGCAGCGAAGCGCGGTTCGTTGTCAGTTGGCGTGGTGGCGCTGCGGACGCAGTGGTGTTCGCGCGTGTTGCATGTGTTCTAAGCAGCTCCAAGTGTGTTCTCTCGTCGAATTCTGCTATTAGCTGCGCTGGCACGTAATGTGTGCGACAGCGCTCCTGCTATGTGTGTCTGTGTGCTACTGTGCTGTGGTGGGAGCCATGCATGTTCAAATCAGTGAGTGCCAACGACTTCGGCATGACTAAAGCTAGGCTTCGCCATTGCTACGCACCGGGATGCCGCACAGGCTATGCCGGCCTCAAAGCAGAAAGGAAGCTGTCGGTTTTGATCGTTCCAAGGGATGAAAATAGGAGAAACGTCTGGGAAAGAAACCTCCTATGCTTATGTCAATTTGTCAACTACCTAGAGGGCGTCTTCACGGGCTGCTTTATCATAAACCGCCTGCATGCCAACAGCATTTTGGACGCGCTGTCACTTGTGATGGGCAAGGACAAAATTATTGGCTGCGCTGCGCATGAAGCCGAAGTGAAAGCAAAGATTGTGCGCTTCTACCACAGAATACCTGCTTCTACATTGTCACTTGTCTGCACTTCCTAATAAAAGGTGTAAACAGGGCAAAAGAAGAAAGACGTATAATGGCACAGCTTTTGAAAGTGCGCAGGTGCACATGACATCACAGGATGAGTCATAGCGTCAATTTCTGAGTAGAATAACATTTGGATGTAGTGAATAAACAGATTGACCTGCAGTTGCTTGTTCTGTTGGCACAAATGGTCGAAAAGTTTGTAGACTTGGTCCAGAGCCGCTCTATAGTAAAGTAGGACCTTATGCTGCAAATCTGGACCCTTACTCATTTTCTCCTAATGATGCATGTTAAGCGATCTTAGAAACCCTTGTTTGCAGCCTTCAATTCTGTCGAAGCACTTCTTTCAGGTATTCACTCTCGCTCCGTGCTCGTCCCTACCTTGGTAACCTAACCATAGCATATATTATAACATTTAAGCTCCACATATTTTTTTTCAAACCCCGGTTGAAAGCACTGAAGTGATTTAAGTGTTAGCACTGGTAGTTTATTCCTGTGTAGTGCACTCTCGGCATATTTAAGTAATTTTGCGAGTGGTCGCTGTATGCTTAAAATATTGTAATTGCGATAATGAAAGAGGATACTGAAGCATTAAGGCAGATTTGAGGGGTGTACAGAAGTGCAAAAGTACGTCAATGGCAGCGATCCTTCTCGGGCGTTCAGACTGGCTGACGACAGCCGCTGCAAATTTTTATTGCAAAAGTTGTAGCGCATTGATATTGCCTTCACTTCTAAACTGCAGTGGCCGCCACGACACTTCGGTGATCTGTTTCTTAGAGAAATGTGATTCAATCAGTCGGTTGGTATCATTGACGCATCGCTGTCCGTGTTCGAAAGGAAACACAGAAAATACACGGCACGCATTTGTTGGAAAGCCTTGTAAGGCACTGCAAATTTATTCTTACTTGTTTTCTTCTACCCTTGGGTCTGTATGTTGATCCTGTAAATAGTAAAAAACTGGGCGAAATGCGAGAACGCACGGCCGATGCGCGTTGGCACGCTTGATCGTGACCAATCCACCTCGCCCGCAGCGCTCCCTAACCAATCAACGAACGCCGCCTCAGCAAGAGCGCTCCATTCGTCCCACTCCGACCATTCTAGTACACTCTAACCTTGCTGCGGCTGCGAAAGGTAAACACTGCGAGATGGTAGCCGCATGCGATGTGTTAGGTGGTGAAATTTCCGATGAAATTGTGGCGATGGCCTAGGCCACTCCCGCGGAGGACTGTCGTCGCTGCTTCATGTAAATGCTGGATGCTTAGTTGAACCTGGTGGTTGGAGCTAGTGCGGCCGTCCACCGTGCCACAGCTTCATCTGAGTATGTGCGCCATAAAGTTTCTCAGTATGATGTGCGGATTACAGTTTTTGGACGTACTGCATTTTCTAGATTGCAATGCCAAGCGTGGTGTTGACAAAGGTGAAAGTGTTCTTGCTGCCGAGTTTTGCTTGTCGCGAAGGACAAGGTCGACGATGAAATAAATGCTTTCGCACAGTTCACGTGTGACTGACCGGACGCACATGCATAAAACCCCAGTGCGTCGGCGAAGTGTTCATACGATGGATGGAAACAACTTTATTGTAATGTTCTTACGAAGCCTGTGATCTCCGAAGTCCAGAGCTACTGCATTGCCGTCTGTTCTGTCAAGTGCGAACACGTACGGCCGTTCTCATCCGTTGCTACGTGAATGCTCCCGTGCTGTCACAGGCCGCGCGTGTTATTGAGGTAGGCAGACAAGCTGTTTTGTAGTTAGATGGGCTACCCCCGTCGGCACTTGCCCTTGGGCGTTGTTTATCAAGTGCTGATCGCCTAGAACATTGCGATGACACGTCAGTATTTTTAAAGAAAGCGGCCTGCCGGACGTAAACCTCGTCAGGTGATGGTACACTGAGTGATATAAAAAAAGTTGCCCGAGACTACGTTGCAGTGCACCGTTCTGTCATGAAAACTTTGATAAACCGTGGAAATCAACATTCCTGACACCTGTGCCGAAGAAACCAATGCAGCCAGCTGCGTTCGAGTTTTTTGTGTCTTTTTGCGTCTCGCCGATTAAGAGCACTAATTCGCAAACACTTTATCATGATAAATATAGTCAATCCTGCAAGAGCCATCGAAGATCCAATATTAAAGGGCCTGTGGACGGGACCACCACCAGCAGCAAGTCGGGCTGATGAGGAGGCGCAAATGTTAAAAAAATACTTGCGTGAACAAAAGAAAAGAGAAAGTATCGATAACTGCGACGGGACTTGAACCACCGACCTCACCAGTTGATGTGTTGCTTTAACCAACTACGCCACAACTGCCTTTTTTTTTCTTTATTGCCTTCTTGACTACAGGTCAAGCCAATATGACAATCACTATCACACGTGTTTCATGCGTGATAATGCGTCAAACAAAGATATTACATCTTCCTACACAGTCGGTAGTCCTATACACATTTCGCACTTTTATAACAGCTTCCAAGAAACACTCATTAACGGATAGAACTCTCACATCACAGTGTCTGTACGATAGCATACTACGCCAAACCGAATGAAGACCAAGAAAAAATATAACATCCAAATTTTGCACAGAACTATCAAAAGGCAAAAAACGAATTCCACATGGAGTAAGAGGTAAATCTTTTTTTAAAGTCCTCTGTAAAATGTCCCAAAAGAAAATAGCGTTCTTACAATCAATAAACACATGTGCAATCATGTCAGGTTTGTTACACAGGACACAGCTGCTTCCCCATGGTACATACATCCCTCTCTCTTCAAGCCACGTTTTTACTGGCAAGGTTCCCGTATGAAGTTTAAAAAAGAAGGTTTTCACATTGGGTG